ACACACACACATATATGTAACTGAATCACTAAGCTGTACACCCGAAACCAACACAACATTGTAAATCAACTATACTTCAACTTTTAAAATATTCAAATCAAAGTATAACTCATTAAAGCCATCAACAGTCTAGCATGAAATCCTTTAAAAATAAGAAAAGGTTGAGCAGCAATTTTGTCCAAGTACTTGAAATGTTTAATAATCTAAGCAAGGTGCAATAAAACCACTAATACAGTAATGAGATAGAGAAATCCAGGTATAGAGTTCATAAACATTCAGAAAGGAAAACAGTCAGGAGTTAACTTGGACTGAATGTAACCATAACAGTAAAGCAGTCTAGGGTGACTTCTGAATTCCAAGATCGTTTCAGACAGTGGTACTTAACCTCAACTGAAACAGCAATAAAGAAGGATGAAAATAACGTCTGCACATTGGCCACTTGGGACTTTACCATTGTCAAGGGAAAATGGCACTTAGCACCGTGAAATACGGCAGTTAGAGCTACAGTTGTGCCTGCATGAGTCTCAAGGGTTGGAATGAGAAATGCCAAGCCTCTTTCCATGGGGTACAGTCAGCTAGTGTGTGATGGATCCTAATCTTTGGTTTGACATGTTTCGACCCAACCCATCCTCTAGGTAATGAGTTACTTCGTTCCTTTCAATCTTGAAAACTACAAACACAGGGGGAAATCATCTATTACTCATCTACCCTCCGTAAAGACAGGTAGGAGTCTTCAACCAACACCTGCTGTGAAGCCAGCAGCTGTGAATCAGGAATTCTGGGCATTTTTCTAAGACTTGTTCCTGTTACTCTTCTTGAATTTCTGGACCATAAAACCTTCAAAATGCCAACTTCATCTCTGCAACCCTGAGCGCCAGACTGGTACTGGGCTTCGAACTCAAGTATCTATGGACTTCTGCAGTCTGCTCTTTAACTTCTGACCCACGTTAAGATCGTGTTTGGAAAGGGGTGCCTCCTTTTTCAGACCCCACCCCAGCAGCTTGAGCTCGATACCGTCTCCATCCTCCTCTTCCTGTTCTGTTCAAGTGTGTGAGCAGACATTTATTGTCCTCATCAGGTGATGGTAATGCCAGTGAGAAACTGTGTAGGGTGTTCACGGTGCGTCCCCGGCGAGAGGCGGGGAAGAGCGCCAACGGTTCAGGGAGCCGACGACTGCGCCGAGGGCATAAAGCCGGTGACGTGGCCCGCACGTGGCTGGCGGGCTGTTTCACGCCCGCCGCCGGGGCACGAGCCGCAGTCGGTCGGTGCCTCCGGCCCCCGCTCGCGCAGCAGGAAGATCTGCGCTCTGGAGCCTGGGTAGGAGTGAGAGCAGCCTGGGAAACTGGAAATGCCCAGGGCCGGGGAGGCGGGGTGAAAACCGGGGCGAGAAAACTCTGCGGGGCGAGGGGTCCTCTTCTGGCACTCCGGTGGGCGCACGGGCTGGGTCAGTTCACACCAACCGTAGAGTCTGCCGTTTTGCCGCTTGGCATCCATCCGCCAAAGACTTTCAACATCCTCTCTGTGTGTATCCGACTGAAACTTTACCTACCTTAAAAGATAAATCATTCTGTTTACCTGAAACACTCTGAGTCTCAGGAGAAGCCTGATGTCATCTCTAACTGTGACATTTCATGAGATCAAACTGAGAACTTTGGCCTCAAATCCACTCAATAAGTGCGTGACTAGGTGTAGAAATTATCTTCTAAAGAGTGTGTGGGTTGGAGGCTTAGGTCAGGAGTTGGGACACTTGAAAATGTGCTGCTTTGTTCTGCGGAAGTTAGTCAACCAACCGTCAATGCAACTTCTTTAAGGAGCACGCTTCTTTGTTAGTGTTTGAAGGAAATACCAGGACACCAAAACGCAGTCTGATCTCCGAAGGAGATTATAGTCTTAATGGTGAGATCAGATAAATACAGTGAAGTATTAGAGAACAATGCGAAGCAGCTGAGTCAGGTTTGTGACAGAGATTGCTAATACTACCGACCTATTCTTCACTTCTTTTTAAATGTTCTCTTTTTCCTTGTTCTAGGGTTATGAAACCATACATCATGCTCTTCCTGTAGACACCCCAGAAGAACCATGTCATCCTGGTCTTAAAACACCTGCCACAAAGGGCACAGTGCTTTTCCATTTGCATCCATCCAGGTAAAACAATGGCAGCCAATGTTTCAACTGCGTGGGAATCTGGGTTTAAAGGAATACAATACCAATTTTTCTTTAAATAAAGGCTCACCGAAAGTGTCGCTGCTTTTATTGTTGCAGCTAAAAAGGATTAAAGGTTGGGGGAGGGAGTAGGGAGAGGAGAGTGGCAGGGAGGGGTATGTGGCACCTCAGGCTGTTGAATTATGGAATCGTGGGTCATCTACTGCAAACCTCAGGCATGATTAAGCTATACAAAATCGCCAGGCTTATGTGTGGGTCTTTCAATGAGCTGATGAGGATAAAACAGCCCAGATGTTAGATCATTTCCTAAAGTTAACCAAAAGGTCTCCAGCAGAACTGGGCCTTGAGCAGTTGAATATCTGATTACATTATACTGATTTTTTCCCTATGACACCTGGAGGTAAAAACATCTTATAAACATTCCTAAAACTAGGAATTCAAACAACATGCATTTATAAAAAGAGCTTATGAGCTCGGCAAGCTACCATTCATTGCAAAGGATGATAATATAAAAATAGCATTTCCATTTTTGAAGTATTCTACGCCAGGCATTGCGTTAGGTGTTTTGCGTGTGTCATTCAGTGTTTGAGGCAAACCTGTGATACAATAAGCCACTGTTCATAGAAGAGAAAACTGAAGCTCAGAAAAGATTTCCCAAAATTGATGGTTTCCAAAGACTAAGGTCTTATCCAATAAGCTACAGAAAGGTGGTAATTGGGAAGTAAAAGTCATGTAAAATATGACAATTATTATGTATTATATATGCTTCCGTGTTAATGATTTTACTACTAACATACATAGTTATGTATTAACACAGAAATTGTTAAAGTAAGGCTGGAGTGTCTCTACTGGGTTGCGAAATGATTGCTATTTCCCAGCTGAAACTATGTTTTCCTTTCAATGTGCATTGACTTAGACATCATAATTGGATGAAGGCTAATTTCTGACATTACTTAAGTACTTATCATTAGCATAGGTTAATTAATTGTTCTTGGGCGCCCTCCCCACCCCATTTTTGGGAGGAGGTAATTAGCTTATTTAATGGAGGTGCTGGGGATTGAACCCAGGACCTCGTGCATGCTGGGCTAGAGCTCTGCCTCTAAGATCTACCTCAACCCCCCTTAATTCATTGTTCTAAGCCTCAGTTCCTTCATCTGTAAAACACAGTCATACCCACCAAGGTACCAGAGTGAAATCAGACATTGCGTTTTACCATACACTGTCAATACGTGTTTATTCCTCTCCCTTTGATGATCACACTATTGAGAAAGACAATACATGGAACAGGTGTCCACTGTCGGCTGTTTACACATCAGTGAGGCCTGAGAAGTACCGCAAATAAATTGTTTAGAATTTTCCCTCCCTCCAAGAATTTGGGAGCACCAATCTCACAGGAACAAAACTAATCATAGCAGCATTTCTTTCCTTTACAAAGTGAGCAAATTATCTGACTAATGGTAGAAGTGGGGATACGAATGCTTCCTGAAGTTGGTGCTCTTGTTGCTTCATGTAAAGGACCAAGGATTTCTTGATACATTGAGAAAGAACAACATGGGCAACCCAATGCTGAATGCCGTTTAAAAAGTTGGTGAAGATATTCAACGACCTTTTCACGCAATCATGGATTCAGCAAATTTGAACAGGCTAGATTTTCAAACATGTTAGTTCTATTTGTATTTTTTTTTCCCTACACTGGGAACTTTGACATTATAGACAAGGAATAAGATAAGCATAACTTCTAGTGCTTTCACTGGAGAAATAACTAATAAAGTGTTTTGCACATTTCTGTGTAATCACACCCCTGGAATCTCAATTCAAAGTGTGTGTAAATAAAAGGACAAACAGCTCTTTCCATAGAGAAGAGAAAACTGAGAGATGGTTCACACTGAAAAGAAATGTTGCCCCACGACTGAGATGAATGATCAATGCGGTATCATCATGAACTGTGAAGAGACCTGGTTTTTTCCCATATTTTCTTTCCGATGGGCTTAGGAGCACCAGAAATGGGGGGACAGAGGTGGTGTGTCCCTAGCCTCTGTAGGTGTACTTCAAGGGCAACAGGCACGTTCTTCAGTTTATTTTTTATTGTCCCTATCAGAAACAAGGCTGGTTCCAGGATGATTCTACTGGCACGACTGGACAGTCTTCTCTTGTTACATTAACCAAAATCCTAACATTGGTTTTCTTTCCTTCTTAGAGGTCCAGGTACCACATCTCCCAGTGCGGATCTTTGTTCCTTTTTCCTTAACTTCCTAGCGATGGCTCTACTCCCACTGGTGCTGTTTCTGGCTGCAGTCCTGCTGCCATCTTTCCCCACCGAAGGAAAGGTAAGGTCAAAGTGGAAAATCTTTCCAGAGCTATCCAGCTCGGTGAGATGGCAAAGCACTTTGAGAATGCAAGGAGTGAGGGCCTGGTACATCACAAAGTTCTCACTGGTCGCTCAGAGCACTTTATGAAATTATCTAGATGAAAAGGTTAAGGGTGAGTTGTCCAGTACAGTAGCCACCAGTCACTTATGGCCATTGAAGACTCGAAGGGTGGCTTTTCCAAAACAAGGTGTACCATTGGTATAAAATACACAATGGATTTCAAAGATTTAGTGCCAAAAAAAGAAAAAAAATTCATTATTTTTATACTGAGTTCATGATGAAATGATACCCTAATTAAATAATGTATTAGGTCCTTAGGACTGTTTCAAGACATTAGCACAAGTTTGGTGGCTTAGCACAATGGGAATGTATCCCCTCTCAGTTCTGGAGGCCAGAAGTCTGACATCAGGGTATCAGCAGGGCCACGCACCCTCTGGAGAACCTAAGAGGGAATCCACTCCATGTCTGTCTCCTAACTTCTGGCGGCTTCCACCAATCCTAGGGGTTCCTTGGCTTGTGGATGCATCACTCCAGTCTCTGCCTCCGTCTTCCCTTCACCTTCTCCCCACTGTGTCTCTCATAAAGACACTTGTCATTTAGGATTTAGGGCCCATTCGGATAATCCAGGGTGATCTCATCTTGAGATTCTGAACTTAATTATATCTGTGAAGACCCTTTTCCCACATAAGTTCACATTCACAGATTTTGGGGGTTAGGACATGAGCACGTCATTTCTGTGGACTATCACTGAACCCATTACAAATAAAATAAATTATTTAAATTAACATCACCTGTTTGTATGTTTCATGTGACCACCACAAAGCTAAAATTCCATATTATCTTGAATTATATTTCTAATGGTTAGACTGGTCTACGAGTTTAAAAAGCTAATGGTAGCCCTCCTCCCCCAACATCTTTTCTGATTTCCCTTTACTTAATTCATTCGAGTGTGATCCCCACAGAAAATTAATGTTCTATTCGTATCACCTTAAATTAGCACAACTCCTTCACGTACCACATTTGACATTCATCATTACTGTGTGATAAAATTATACTTGCTTTTATATTAAAATCTGACTCTCAAGGTCTTAGTGTTATGTTTTGCTTTGTTTTTTAACAGTCATAAACTTGGTACGTGAGAACCCAACTCTTGAGCTCAGATCCTCTATTTTGAATATGCTGCATCACTTTAACAATCCCAAGAACAGGCTCAATCATCATCTCCAATGATTGGTGTGTAGATGCCCGTACGAGGTGTCCACCTCCTGGTCAGAGAACCTCTGAATGTGGGGAGTTTTGGTCATCACTGTCTGTTCCCACACCCTCCTTTGACTCTGGGTGTACAAGATTAGCTAGGACTCCTCAGACCAGAGAATTTTGACACTGGGCTTAACCTCAGTTAATTCAGCATTCACAAATACGTCTCATTCTGTTACCGTCATCAAAGTTTCAATCTGAAGACAATCTGTTCATCACCCAGGGCTTCAGTTAAGTAGTTTGCTATCTTCCCAGTCTCTTTCCTAAAGATTTCCTTCCATGGTTTTTTCCAGGCCCCTTGTTACCTGTCTGCTCCATCTCCTGGCCTTCATTTATTAAAAAAAAAAAAATTTTAAAGGGAGATATCATGGGGTCTTTTGCACCACTAAATGTTAGATCAGATGTTCTATACACCTCCACCCAGAAGGTACCTTCTCAAGATGCCTAGAAAATATTGCCCATCTTTCATACCTCAATCCAGGCTATGTTTTGTGAAGCCCTTTCTGACCTCAATCAAGAAGAATGAATCCCTCCTTCCCCTGTATCAGATCCTTCCTGTCATTTCAGTTATCAGTGGTTTTACAATGTTTACTTACGCCCTGTTGCCGATCCAGTATAAACACTTTAAGGCTAGATAAGACACCATATTTGATCCATTGTATTCTCAACACTTTTCCTATTTCCTGCCACCTAATAAACTTTACTGAAACTTATTTTTTTAAAGGGCACATTTTCAATAGAATTATTATCTACAGAGCAAGACGGGGTAAGAAACAGGAAATAATTACTTCTCCCTTTTCAGAGATCAAATGTTGATGTGTTTTGAAAATACTTTAAGATTTTTGAGGGAGAAAATATCCAAGGATGTTATTTTTGCTTTAACGTAAAGCAGAGATCGGCCACTACTGACTTCCCATGTGCATCCCTCCTCAGTTAGAAGTTAGTAGCTGGGAATGTGCCCCGTTAGTGAGTGCAATGCACTCAGTATTGGTCCCTGCCCTTGGGAACATACAAGCAGGCAGGAGAAATGGACGCAGAATGAGCTAGTGGCAATCAGATGTGGTCAGGCCCATGTTCACAGCATTTGCAGAGCTCTGAGGGAACTCAGGACTGGAGGGAGTAGAGAATAACGTGTCCCAGGGTGTCAGGGGAAAATCAACAAAGATCCTGTCTGTTTATTTCCTAAAAAATAACCCTCATTTCTTACTTATGCTCCTAGAACATCAGACCTCCATGTAAATTTAGGCCATCAAATTGCTAGACCTTGTGGGAATAATTCACACACCCTACTCCACCTCCAGGGTTTAGGACCCATCACCTCCCCCGCCACACACACACACACACACACACACAGAGATACAACCAAAAATAGCAGCACCTGATTTAATATCCTATTAATTACATTTCTGTTACTAAAAGAACAGTCAGCAGTAGTCCATTAATTGCATGGCTTTGCTTCCTCCAAATTGTCTGGGAGGTTTATTTGGGTTTTTTTTTTTTTAGTTATTTTTTAAATATTTTTTTTGAACAACCCCATATAATCTACCTATAACAGGCAGAATCATTTTACTTCTCCTCAACCTAAATATTCTTTCTCTAAATACATTCTAACTACATTCTTTCTCTCAAAGCAGACACCACGTCAGGTCAAAGTTCCCCTTAACGTCCTGATGGGTCTTGAGGTCCAGTTATTCTGCTGCCGCCTGATTAAATGCGAACCAACTGTCTCAATGTTCTCACTGTGTACCTCTGTACACAGCATCATAAAATAGTACAAAACATGATCAGCCATTGTATGTCTAGAAAAATCACCTTGAGAGTCCCCTTGAAACTAGAAACTGGTGTTTGTGGCATCAGGAGAGTTTTTAATTTGTCATGCCATGAATCACATCTCCACTCTCAAAGATTCAAACCACTTCCTTCCTATTATTTGTCATTGCTTTGGCTCAATTCACTGGCATGCTTAGCAACTCATAGTGGCTTGAACTGAATGCTTTTGTAAAGTGATCTCTGATCCCTGGAATTATCTTATTCGTTCTTACATGCAATTCTCAAAAATGTTTAAAAAAAATAACCCTGATTTAATTTCCTTTTAGGATCCATCCTTTACTGCTTTGTTAACCACTCAAACGGAAGTCCAAAGAGAGATTGTAAATAAACACAATGAACTAAGGAAGTCTGTGTCTCCACCTGCCAGGAACATGCTAAAGATGGTAAGAAGCAGGAACACAAAGAAAGCGCTGTGAACCAGCGGTGGTAGGAGCAGGCAGGTGGAACCTTACAAAGTGCTGTGTTTATTTTGCTATTTCATTCAGCTGTGTTATGGGCAGGGCGGAAATGAATTTTCCTTTATAATGGTTAAATAACTTATCAAGGCTACCGGGCTATTAAGTTGGGAAGGCAGAATTAGCAGCTAAATCTTCAGACACCAAATGTGAAACCATTACATTTTTTGTTCACTATCTTTCCAAGTCTAAAATACAGAAACTTCCTATCCTTTGGGAATCAATGCCAGTTAGGGTAATTAATAGCCCATTTTCGAGAGAATAGACCATAAAGGTCTCCCAGATGGACACAATGGGCTACCAGTGGAATAGCTTAGGTCAGCCTGTTGCCACTGAAATGTAATTAGATGGCTTCACATGTTAATTCGTATTCCATGGCTGTTGTGCTATCATAGCGAGAATACTGTGTTAGGTATTTCTCTCATCAGACAGATCACCTGTGGACTTCTCTTTGTGTGGACACTGGCACTGAGGTAGATAAAACACACAAAACCCCAAACAAATAAATGTGTGTGTGTGCGTGTGTGTGTGTGTGTGTATATATATATATATATATATATATATAAATATAAATATATATATAACAAATTATATATATATATATATATATATATATACACACTTCAGGAAAAAATGAATTAAAAAAAAAAACAAGATACTTTAATACCAACGACAGTTAGATAACACAGCTACAGAAGCTTTAAAGTGGCTCACACCAGCCTCCCAATCAGATTACAAAGCACGTACTTCATGGAGCTGAATCTGTGTATATTTCTTTTTCTTGTGATATTTAGGAATGGAGCAGAGACGCCACAGCAAATGCCCAGAAGTGGGCAAACAAGTGCACTTTAGAACACAGCAATCCAGACGACCGAAAGACCAGTACGTTAATTAGTCCACGTCTGTTGAATAAATGAGCAAATAAAATAACCCTGGGCAGATAAAACCGAATGGACCATTCTGGGATGTTGCGTTACGAAGACTGTGAATACATGTTGCTTCTGTTGCTGCATTTTTTAAAAGCGAAGTATCTGTATAGAGATCCTCATTCTAAGTACTGTTTTATGCTTGTTGTTTACATGATGCAAATGATCTCTTAAGCAGTATCTCCTCTGTTCCCCTTAACCAGCTCGTGAGCAGAGAGATCATGTACAATCGTTTTTCTGATCTTAATGATTAGAGACTAAGGATGCAGAAGGAGTGAGTGATGCCAGGACACAGCCGGCAGTGGTGTCATATATTGGGAAGTTCGCCAGGCTTTCTGATTCCTAACCCACTGCCCTTTTTGTGAGACTGCGTTGCTATTTGGTGTTTTGAAACCTGTGTATTTTGCATTCACAAAATGTATTGAATGATGTTGAATTGTTCCTGAATTTGACTTTAAAAATATAAAAGCTTTTATTAATCAGGATGAATACTTTAGGTATGTTGGCTCATTTAAAAAATTTTTAATAACAAACTATATTTTGTATGGGCTGTGTGCCTATAATGTGTAGGATAATATATTAGACTCAGAAAACTATAAGATATATCAAGGATGATAAAAAAAACTATGACAGAAAAAACTTACATGCGTAAACTTTACATAAAATATTTGTTTACATTATCAAGCATGACATGCACATAGGCAAGCCCAATTTGAAATTAGTGAGTAATTTATCTGTTATTTCAGTAGAATTATTATTGTTTATACCGTTGGTGCTAACATTATAATGAAACTGAGATGATTGCGTTCAGTAGAAAATTGAAGCGAATGGTCTTAAAGACCCAAATCTACTGCTAGATCCTTAGTTTCTGTCCTTCCCTATCAAAAGGAGATATCCAAGAGCAGTTTCTGCTCTCTCTAAGCAGCATGTAGACATTATATTTCAAGTCACCAAAATAGAGATACTAAGTGAGAGCTGTAAAGGTAGGGAAAATTTTCTGGACTGCAGGGCTCTTCTTTCTTTTTTAAATTAATTTTATTGTGGTAAGAACACTTGTTTTTTTTTTTAATTTTTTAAAAAACATTTTAATGGTGCTAAGAACCCTTAACATGAGATCTGCCTTCTTAAGGAATTTTAAGCGTACAATACACTATTGTTGAGTAGAGGTGTAATGCTGTACATCAGATATCTAGAACCTATTCAACTTGCTTACCTGGAAGTTTGCACTCACTGATAGTGACTATCTGTCCTCCTACCCTCTCAGCCCCAGCAACCATTTCACTCTTTGATCTATGAATCTGACTATCTGAGATACTTCCTGTTACTGGAATCATGCCCTGGTTGTCTTTCTGTGATGAGTTTATTTGACTTAGCAAAATGTCCTTAAGGTTCATCCATGCTGTTGCATGTTGCAGAATTTCCTTTTTCTCCAAGGACGAATGACATTCCATTGTGTGTCTACACTGCATTTTGTCTGTCCACTTACTTGTTGATGGCCATGTAGGTTGTGTCCACATCTTGGCTATCGTGAATAGTGCTGTGACGAACATGGGATTGCAAATGTCTCTTCAAGAGCCTGAGTGCAGTTCTTCTGGATAAATACTCAGACGTGAGATTGCTGGATCATTTGGTAGTTCTACTTTTAATTTTTTTGAGGAGCCTCCGTACTGCTGCTTCCCACAGCAGCAGCACCATTTGCACCCTCACCAACAACGTACAAGGATTCCACCTTTTCCACATCCTCACCATCACTTGCTGTCTTTTGGGGTTTGTTTGTTTGTTTTTTTTTTGATAATAGCCATCCTGACAGGTGTAAGGTCATATCTCACTGTGGTTTTGATTTGCATTCTCCTGATGATTTAGTGATGTTGAGCACCTTTTTATATACCTTCTGGCCACCTGTACATCTTTTTTGGAGGAATGTCTGCTCGCGTCGTGTTCAGAAAGGATCCTTAGTCAGTCCCTCAGGCAGCCCCCTGGAAAAATGGCTCTCTGGACGGTCCACCCAACTCTTGCCCTCCCCAGGGCGAGGCCGGGAGCTACGGTGCTTTGTCTGCTCACTCTGTGCTGAACCTGGAGGGGAGGCTATGGTAACTTCCAGCCCAGATCTGTCTCTGTTCTCACCAGTCCAGGGCAGCTGGTTTACGCTGGATCTCCTCACCATTCCAGAGCAGGCAAGTCAGAACCAGTCCTTCGGGCAGCCTCTGAGAAAACTATGTGGCGCTGGATGTCCAAACCAACTTCTTCCCTCCCCAGGGAGAAGCAGGCAGCTGTGCTTTCTGTCTGCTCGCTCTGTGCTGAGCTGGGGAGACGAAATGTGGCATCAACTAATCCAAAATACCATCTCTGCCTCCCCGGGGGGATGGGAATGTGCTCCAAGACTGGCGAGAGAGATGCCAGTTCTTTGGGGAGTCCCTTTGAAAAAGGTGGGTTGCTGGACAGATGAACCAAGTCCTTCCCTCCTGATCGTGGCACTGTGTGGAAGGTAGGGATTTTCCAGTCTCCCTACCGACTTCAGTAAGTCCGGTTTCATATCCTTCAGGGCATGGAAGCCTTGAATGTTGTTTTTGGATTTCCCACAAGGGCAATTTGTTCTTGAATTGTTGCTAAATCCGTGTGTCTACTGGGGGAAGGAGACTCCAGAGATTCCTTTCTACCACTGTGCTAAGGTCACCCTCTGCAAGGCCCTACCCTCCTAACGCTCTTGGACCTAACAGACATTAGGATGTATTTATTAAGGGAAGATGTACAAGTTTGAAAAGTATCATCACTCCTAATGTCACTTGCCTCTTGATGGGAGCTCTTAAAGACTGCCTGTAATTTTTTTTTCAAAGTTCACACAAAATCATAGTCATAAAAACATTTATTCAGGTTCCTATAGGTGAAAAATCTCTGCTGAAGGTGGGTAAGAGGAGGAGAGAAAGAAGAAGAGTGGGTTGCTGCCTTTTGCAAGCTTACGATACAAAGCTGAGAGCTCACAAGGCATTAATTCCACCTGGAAGGAATTTAAAGTGAAAAAGTGCATCTCTGATAATCAAGAGGGAGAGGTATTTTGAATGAGGTCCTCTCAAACTGTTCAAAGTCTGCAGGCTGAGGCCAGCCTCCATGTGCTAGGTGGATCCGTCTTCTGTCCCACTTTGCAGCCGACAAGGAACAGAAGCACCTTTTTAAGGTCTTAGCAGGTAGCGAGTCTAAGCACTGTGGCTCGGTGTTGGAAGGGCAGCAGCCTTGTGTTCGCGTAGTTGCTTTCATTTGCCATGGCCTGCTTTATCGCTTTCCTCACGAATGATCTGTTTGTGCTTAGGTACAAAATGTGGCGAGAATCTCTACATGTCAAGTGACCCTGTTGCCTGGTCAGATGCAATCCAAAGCTGGTATGAAGAGCGCCACAATTTTGTCTACGGCGTAGGACAGAAGAGTCCCAGTGCGGTCATTGGCCATTATACCCAGGTGCGTGGAACAGATGAAAGGCCTCTGCCACACGTGTTCTCGTATAGAAAGTCCCTCTAAATTAAGACCAACTCCGGTGTTCAATATGAGGGAAGAGCTTGAGTATAACACAGTCCTGACAGGTGGCTGGTACTTCCTCAAGAGCTGTCATTTTTTTTTTCCCACGGCCTGCAAAATCCTTGATAGGGAAGCACACTCTACTTTTCCAATATTATAAATGGATAAAGGGGCGAGTGTACATGAAAGTTAATATTTTTAAAGTTTGTGACTTTGTTTCACTAATTAAATATTTCCATAAGGTACCTGGCTACCAACTGCAATAGTCATATTTTTTTTTCAGTTTTACGTTTGCTATTTTTTAAAAAGTATTTTTCCCTCTTTTTTAACATACTCACATATTCTCTTATGGATTTGCAGCTTGTCTGGTACTCATCTTACCTCGTTGGATGTGGAATTGCTTATTGCCCCAATCAAGAGAGTCTTAAATACTACTATGTTTGCCAATATTGTCCCGCGTAAGTATGCACTTTATAGTCTAATGCCAATAATTCCACCTGCAATTCAATATTTTTAAATGCTCATATATTATAAAACCGATCAAAATAGAAAGCATATTTTATTAAAGGGAAGGAATACATCTTTCAATTTATCAGAGAAGAGAACAGGTTCTCAGGTCCAAGAGTAAAATCTGAAACTCTTCTTTCCTCAATTATAAAGTGATGTCTTTTCTCTCAATTGCCCTTCCCTAGGGCTCAGGGTTAGTCCCTGAGCACATGCAATGTGCATTTCCCTAGATCCAGTGTCATCAGTTCTCGTTAATTTCACACTCTCGAAGGGTGGAAGCTTGATGGTTAAGCAAGGACGGTAGTGGATGGAATATAAGGGATGGTAAATTGTGATTTCAGCCCTTTTTGCAAAAACGTTCCTACTCCTACTTATCTAAAAAAAATACTTATATTATTACCATTAGAAATGATTCATTCTCTTGGTTCTCAAAAGTTTTTCAAGATATCTTTAAGACATGTCAGGGTCCAGGAAAAGGTAACATCTCAAGCTTTTGTTTCTCAGATGTTTTCACAAAAAAAACTCCACAATGAAAAATCCCTTAAGGTCATGATTTATAGCAGGAAACATGCTCTTCCATCAAGCAACAAGTTTGAAGTTATCCACAACAAATCCTTCAGATACACGAAAGATCTAACCTCAGCATATCCGTTAGTTTTCATTTCTTTTAAAATTTGAGATTCCTTACCACTACGGGCAGGGGGCCCCCCAAGCCAAGGCTCTGACAGGCTTTATTTGATACTATAGATAACCCAGGGATATGAACTCCAGTTTGAGAAGTATGACCTCCAAAGTCCTTTTCCAACAAACACCTTTTATTTATTTATTTTTTTAATGGAGGTACTGGGGATCGAACCCAGGACTTTGTGCATGCACTCTAATACTGAGCTATGCCCTCAGAGTTTAGTAAAAAGAATTGACAGCTCATTTGGATAAGGACAATATGGCAGACAAGGAAGACCCTGAGCTCACCTCCTCCCACAGACACACTGAATCTACACCTACATATAGAGCGATTCCTCCTAAAGAAGACCTGAGGGCTGATTTAGCAGCTACTACTGTACATAGAAGAACCACACAGAAATGGGTAGGAAAGATGGAGACACTGTGTCCCTGAGAACCCCACCACCATTGCAGTGACCTGCAGTAGGGGGGATATAAGTGAGGGATTTGCATACAGACAGCAAAAACAAAACAAAACAAAACAAAAAACAGAAAAACCCGAGCAATTTTAAAAGCACTTAGACTAGGAATAGACTTACCATATGACCCAGGAATCCTGCTCCTGGGCATATATCCAGAAGGAACCCTACTTCAAAATGACACCTACAACCCAATGTTCATAGCAGCACTATTTTCAATAGCCAAGACATGGAAACAGCCTAAATGTCCATCAACAGATGACTGGATAAAGAAGCTGTGGTATATTTATACAATGGAATACTATACAGCCATAAAAACCGACAACATAACGCCATTTGCAGCAACATGGATGTTCCTGGAGAATGTCATCCTAAGTGAAGTAAGCCAGAAAGAGAAAGAAAAATACCATATGGGATCACTCATAAATGGAATCTGAAAAAAGAAAACACATAAATACAAAACAGAAACAGACTCAGACATAGAATACAAGCTTGTGGCTGCCAAGGAGGTGAGGGATGGGAAGGGATAGACTGGGATTTCAAAATGTAGAATAGATAAATAAGATTATACTGTATAGCACAGGGAAATATATACAAGATCTTATGGTAGCTCACAGAGAAAAAAATGTGAAAATGAATATGTGTATGTTCATGTATAACTGAAAAATTGTGCTCTACACTGGAATTTGACACAACATTGTGAAATGATTATAAATCAATAAAAAATGTTAAAAAAAAAAAGAAAGAAAGAAAAGAAAAGAACAGAAAAGCCCCTAGACTATACAGAAGGAAATCCATGTGAGCAGGGAACTGCTGAGCCCTCTCCGGGGTCAGAGGCACCAGTGAGCACCAGTGTTTGGGTCCCCTGGGGACACCTCCCAGTCCACACCTGTCCCAGCTGTCACACCAGGGCAGCCTAAAGCACAGTGCTCCCCAGGGACTGCCCCTGGCATGGTCCACTCCAGCTCTTGCTGGCCTGCCAAAGCCCCCAAGCACAAGCAATCACGGAGGATGCTTCCACACCCAGGCCACTCCTTCAAAACCAAGAGGTGGCTGTTTCATGTAACTCAAACAAAAAACAAAAGTCAACTAAAACGAGACAGGAATATGTTCCAAAGGAAAGAACAAAATAAGACCCCAGGGGAAAACCCTAACGAAATAGAGATAAGCACTTGACCTGATTAACAGTTCAAAGAAAACTTATAGGATGCTCACTAGAGAAAAGAATGGAAGAACACCTTTGGCTGTTGGCCCACTTAGCACTATTGAGGTTTGGACTCCCGTGTATTTTCAGATGAATCAAATCAATGACCAACAAGATAATGATCATCAATGAGTTAAAAGTTACTCACTGTAAGGTGATTTCATCCAGGATACTGGTGTTGATCAAAACATTTTTTAACGAACATTCCTTTTTTGGTAAACATAAAACTCTCACACACCACTCCTGGAAATTCATAAACCTTCCCCAGCTCTCACTGACCCACCAACACAAGCACCGTTAAATATCACTACTCCATCTAGAAATTAAAATATGTATATACCGCAGCATTACTTTCCCCAGCTCATATTAGAGTAATTATGGTATTTATCCTTTCCGAATATAAAATTATATTGTAATAGTGAATATTCTTTTCCATCTTGCCACTCCCTGCCTCCAAGGACCCTCCTCTGTCTCTCTGAGGAGTATGTTTACCTCTAGCCAGTGCACTGGGGTGCACAGCCTTACTGATGTGACCGAGTCTACTGGGAGACCGAGTGTTGGCATAACAAAATTTATTCTGAAAACTTGAGACTATTTATACCAGTCTAGTTGCTCAGCCCGAAGAATTATAGTCAAGGAGATGGCTCAGCGCCTGTGAAGTACTTCCTTAATATGAATGTTACCTGTATCACACGTTGGGAATTGTACTTTTTCAGTTCTGTTCACGTCACTAAACACATTTAATAGCTATGTTTAGTGATTGTGTTGCCCCTGGCAACTAAACAGCTATGTGGAAAATACTTAACACTGTGTATTTTAAATTTCAGTGGCAATAATGTGAATAAAAAGAATACCCTTACCAACAAGGAACGCCTTGTGCCAGCTGCCCTGGTAACTGCGACAATGGACTATGCAGTAAGTTGGAAGTGATTAACTTGCTATTATAACCAAGAATTGATATTTTCTTTCTTTTTATGGATTAAGAAATCTTCCAAAGTAAACAGTTCCAATAATGTCTTTACGCAAAAGACAAGGAGATTTCTCAATAGAGTGTGTTTAAGTAAACATTTTACACACTTCAGTAACTACATGTTATTTGTAATGAAAAGAAAACAGGCTTATCTCAGAGACGTTGTTCCCGACCACTGCAAGAAGGAAAATGTCACTACAAAGTGAGTCACACAAATTTTTTGGTGTCCCAGTGCACAGAAAACTATGATTGTGCTACACTGTAGTCTATTAAGTGTGCAATAGCAGTGTGTCTAAAATAATGTACATATCTTAATTTAAAAATAATGCTTTTGATTCTACATCTTAAATATCCATCATGATTATTTGCCAATCATACCTCAGCAAAGCTGGAAAAAAATAGAATAATACAATTTTAAATCCAAAAAAAAAATAAAAATGCTTTTGGAAAAATGGCTCCAATAGACTTGCTTGAAGCAAAGTTGCTACAAACACACAATTTGTAAAAACAAACAAACAAAAAAAAACCCAAAAACCACAATACTGCAAAGCACAGTAAAGTGAAATGCAATAAATTAGGTATGTCTGTATTACCGTATATAAGATAATGAAGCATCTAGCATACATTTGTTTCTGTGACCAGGCAGAGCTCATTAATATTAACTATACATTCATACTTTTGATAAATCATTTGATAAATAGTTCTAATGATACGTTAGTATCTTTAGACCAAAGTTTCTATTTTGACAGAATCAAAATGTATAAATCTAAGGATGTGAGACCACATTATGGCTCAACCTAGAGAGGCAGACCTTGATACTGCATTTTTTTTGTACAGATGAGTGCATCACACTGATCACCACATTTTCTTTATAGTATAATTTGCAGCATGGTGATTAATGTAATAAATGATCACTTGCCCCATAATTTGGTTGTGGTTTTGTGCACATTTTTAATGACAAAATTCAATCTGTATATGATGTTGGTTCATAGAATCCACAAACATATTGTTGCAAAAGAAAGGAAAGAAAGAAATGTCATTTATATCATTTCTAAAGTTGTCAAGAACAAAAATTAAAAAAGCAGTTGCCTTTTTACAGTCAGGATACTTTTATTTAAATTATTACAAATAATAGAGTTGACTCATTCACCGAGATTTTTGACTTCTAAGTGCATTCCCCTTTAGTCAGCATTCTTTCTTACTGAATTATAGAGCTGTCATTCAGAATATTGATGACATCAAAGCTATAAAATCGACTAAAGAAAAAAAGTCAACTAAAAAAAAGTGGAATATTTCTACTTCTCCTGAATGCTATATTTGCTAAGGAGCTCAGAATTTATCCTATTAGCAATAAGCATTCAGTTGAAAGATTTTCAGTGAAAGAGTGGCAAAGTCAGAATCGTGTTTTAGAAAGAGCTTTCTAGCAATGGTATGTAGAAACAATTGGATGGAAGCCAGCTAGAACTCTGGCTTGAAAAACAAAGGGTTAAAAAGAAATTGGATGTTCTGACTGCATTACTCCCAAAGCAAATGAAGAAAAATGGACAGGGCTGAGAGACAAGGATTAGAATGTTTGCTGTCTAAATGACTTGAGGGAGTCAGAGAGCCACTTCCCCGGGACCGTGGGAGGGCGTAGGGAGCCACGTCCAAGAACCATCAGCCTTGTGGTATGTATGGTACGTAGTATGATGATTTTAGTTTGAGATCTGCTCAGTTTGGGCTCCCTGGGGAACATCCAAGAAGAAATATTAGAAAGAGGTCAGACTATCATTGTTTCACACCTTTATCTTCCCATTGGAACCTTCCCATTGGAATCACTTTCTCCTGAAAGACAGCCTTGGCATCTGAAGGGTCGCTGTCCAACAGGATGACACAATGGAGCCTTTCTCTGTCAGCCTGTGTCTTACAAGGAGCCACTAGTCACACATGGTCTTTGAGCACTATAAATGTGGCTGGTAAAGCCGAGGAACTAAATTTTAAATTTCATCTAATTCAGAATCATTTGAATTTAAATAGCTGTTTGTGGCTAGTGGCTCCCATATAAGACTCTGCAGGTATTTTCATGGTACCCTCTTTGCTAAGGGAGAAAAGTAGGGCAATTCATTTTAGAAATATATTGAGGGATGCGGCATAGCTCAGTGGTAGAGTGTGTGCTTAATATGAGCATGCACGAGGTCCTGGGTTCAATCCCCAGTCCCTCTATTAAATTTAAAAAAAAATCATTTTAGAAACACATCACCAAGTTCAAAATAAAAAGGGATGGATTCATCAGTGAGCTCAAGTGAGGCACCTCCTATGTCCCTCAGGGAGTGAAGGGCCTCTCCTAGAGTGTAAGTGATGCTGACTTGCTTGCCCAGTCCTACCCACCTCATACACTTTGAATGTGTGGATTCCTTTGGGGCTACTGGGGAAAAGGATACTGAGGTACCTCCTCTGTTTTTGTGACAGCCAATACCTGCGAGTATGAAGATCTCCTTAGTAACTGTGATTCCTTGAAGAAAACAGCTGGCTGTGAGCATGAACTGCTCAAAGAGAAATGCAAGGCGACCTGCCGGTGTGAAGGCAAAATCTACTGAAATGTCCAAGTTGCACTGTGCAGGACCAAATGGGAAAAGCTGCAGCGTTTAGTGGACACACCAGGAGCGGGACCGTAGGCACATTAGTCACTAGCTTGATCTCCAACAGGAACGCATCTTTTCCTCCTGGATCTTTACGGAGATCTTTTTCACACAACAATGGGCAAAAGCAGCCTACACTATGATGACAGCTCTGGGCTGATACAAACTCGCTACCTTAGATTTAATGAGGTGAGTCAAGCTGAGGATTTTGAAAGTTGCATAACCATAGCACTGAGTCACTAGAACTTTGGATTAAAGTAATTACATGTTTCCTGAAACAACATGCCAAAAAAAAGACTAACATCATTGTCATTTCAGTTACATGATTTTTTACATGTTTGAAGAATGAATTCAAAGACTGACATCTACCTTTGTCTTATGACCTCCTCTTTAAACAAAAGCAATGTGCTTTTAGAATAAAGAACTTATCTGAGCAAACGCATGGATGTGGTTCTTGAATAATATTTTCTAATAGTCACAT